CAGCGTCGCGACGCCGGGCGATGAGACACGACGACGACGACCATCGATTTCACTACGACCACTACTTGGCGTGTCTACGTTTACATTCTCGCTATATCTCGAAGATAGGGCACGACCCGCTACCTCTTCCGCATCCGAATCGCCGCGATCGATTTTTCATTCTGGCTTCCTCGACGAAACGTAAGACGCGCTCTCGGCGGAGAATGCGGCGCCGACGATGAAATGCCGTCGAGAGGAATTTCAGCACACAGATCTCGGCTAAGATTCTAATTCTAATCGCAGCAGGGTAAGGTTCCCGCGAGACGAAGCGAACGCCGCGTGAAGTGAACTTTCGCGCAAGTAAGAGCGAGCGGTATGCGACGTGAACGAGAAATCAATTCTCTTGGGTATCCTCGAGAGTAGAATTGTAGAAAAATACAGGAGAGTACGTTTTCCTTACTTTTTTGCTTTTCCTCTGCGGACTTGGGAAAAACACACAAGTTGCACGTTCATTCGATGTAATTACGGACGATTCGGGCGCGACGGGGTAGCGCGACGCGATAAGATAGACTAGAGACCCGTTGTGCAGCTGACGAAGATAGGAGTACTCCGTTTCAGATTCGAAGAAAGCGTGCATCAGTGGGTCTAGACTACGGCTAAGTAGTTAGGAGGGACCGTGATATCGGACGTACGTATTCACTTAAATCATCCTAAAAGGCTATAGAAGACTACCCCGAAAAGTGGTGGACACGACCGCTATCGTTTTAGACGAGACAGTAATGTTATTTCGCTGAGGGATGAACCGAGGGGAGAGTGAGAGAGAGAGAGAAAGAGAGAGATGGAGCCAGAGTCAGAACGAGAGAAAGAGAGAGAGAGATTCTCACGGGTCGAGCGCGAACGAATTAATGTGCGCGTCGTAGCGGCGATACGCTGAAATAACGACGTCGGCCAGACCGTGTCCAAAATTTGCGACCACAGAGTCCGCCCAGCGCGAAAATCTAATCGCGCATTTCCCGCGGATTCGCCGTCTCCGATGAAAATTTCGTCTCGGGTCAAAGATACACGCGCGACAGAGGATCGCGCGATGATCGATCCGCAAGGTGTCTGATGTCGGAAAGGGAGCTTCGATGCGCTGTAATTTAAAAATTCACCCCCAAATTCACGCCCCGGCGAAGGGAACGGTCGGCTCTGCGGGATCTTCGCCACTCGTACACTGCGGAAGCGATGGATCACGACTGGGGATAGATCCGGTGGTTTTTCTCGAGAACGTCGTCGCACACTCGACTGCGCCTCGGCTAGTCGGCAGTACCCGTCGCGATTCGCGAGAACTTGGCAAAAAGGGGGACGCGCATTTCGGCTGTAAAGGTCTTGTCGAGTGTCTGCGATTCGCCGTGGATCTTAACAAGTTCCGCGCGATCGTAGATCGGCTCGCCGCCGTTTGCGTCGAGTGAGCGACGTCATAAAGGCGACGACCATGAATCGTAAGAGCCGGGAAACGGAGCGAGACGTCTCGTCTCGTGGGCGACGACGCTCGGCTCCTCTTCGCCCGGTCGGGCGCCGGAAATTCGCCGTTGTTGAATTTAGGAGCAGCGGCGCCGTAAAACGGAAGCGCGCGCGATGCGCGAGGCTGCTGGCCAAGTATAAGACGGAGAAAATGGATCGCGCTATGTTTTTCGAAGTAATAACCCCTCGGGGGGCGATAGGGGACATGGCCGTGGAATTTATCAGGCGACGAGACTCGCTCGTCGACTCTGCGAAGCGCCGAAATTCATGTCTTGGCTCAGGAGACCTCTTTCCTTCCCTTTCTTTCACTCTCTCTTTCTCTCTTTTTTTCTCTCTCTCTCTCTCTCTCTCTCTCTCTCTATCTATCTATCTATCTATCTATCGGCCCGAATCCCTCAGCTACGTAATCTGCCGCTATCGAGAACAGTCTAACTACGACGGGCGGTCCGTACTAGATCTAAGGACTAGATCGACTAAAAGAAGCGTCACGAGTGCTAATCTAACGATCTACAATACAACATCAACGAGGTTCTCGCGGAAATTTCATCTACTCGCGGAGCATGTGTGTGTACATATGTGTGTCTCTCTATCTCCCTCTGTCTCTCTCTCTCTTTCTGTGTGCGCGGTACGTGTATGTATGTTCGTGTGTGAGTGTGTACAATGCACACATAGTGTACATGAGGATTGTGTCCGCACGTGAGAGTTGTGTTCGTGTTTTTACACCGTTATATATATGTACATGTAGCGGTACGCTATCTTATCGATCCACTACTCGATTTTCGCAATCCAAGTAATGTGGGTAATAATAACGAACGTAATTTTGGTATACATGCATACATACATGCACTCACACATACGCACGATCGCAAAGTACGAGCACAATAAACCCTCGTTAGAGCAAGTTCAGAGGAACTCGGAACTAGTAGCGGGAACAGAGGAGGATTTGTAGTGGGGGGAGAATTCGAGCTAACGAGAGTTTACCGTATTATGAGCAACGTCGATTCACAAAATTATTCTTCCTTCCGACAATCTCGGCCCTGTTTTTTTATCCCGACATGTTGATCGGGATCGGGCACGAAGATTGCCGGCAGAAGCGACAAACCTTGAGCCACCCTTGAATTGCGAAAAAACGCTAAACCCTGTAACACGTAACTTCACCACTCGCGCGAGTGGGAGACTCGAGGAATCCGATTGGATTCGATCGTACCTACCCGCGAAAAATTCGAGAAAAGCGTCGACGCGCGTCGTCAGTACGCAGAAACGCAAAGAAAAGTTCAAACGGTAAGCCGCGAGTTTTCTCTACTTCATTTGATCCTTTCAATACCTTCGCGCATTGCACTCTTTGAGACTTACAAATCATTGCACTAATATTCGTTGATGCGACAATCTTAAGAGGATTAAAATAGAATTATCGTAAAGTTCTCTCTTTTTTTTTCTTTTTTTTTTTCGAGAATGTCTATCATCTATTCGATACTCGATACTGAAAGGATCAGTCGAACAAATCTGGCAAGGCTATCAGCCAGGTTATCACTGACGAAAACGATCTACGACAACGTCTTAGAATTTCATCCGATGCTCGGGTCTACCGTGTTTTACCTCGACAGCGAAACTTAACAAAACGCAATTATCCTAATATCAAATGCGAGAGAAACGACTTGACTTCCTTGCGCTCTATTGCACGTAGTATTTATTTGGCATTAGGTAATTCCTTGAGCAAAAGCGGAAGGTACTAGATTCTCATCGAGGACTCTCTAGGGGATTACGAACGACGAGTTTCTTATTAGTAGAATTCTTTTTTCTTTTCTCGCGAGATCGCTCGTTCGCCATCGATTTCCCGTGAAGACGGCAGTGCGACGCGAGGAAACGCGAAACACCTCCGCGAGGAGCATTCGGAATGGAAACTCGTTCGAATCGCCACGCAACGTCGACGACATCGGTAAGCATCATCGCGAGCACGCCGCAAAAATTCGAGAAAACGACGAGACGTAAATCTCATCTCTCACCGTGCTAAAATAACGACGAACAAATGAGTCGCTCGAAGGAACGCGTGACATAACTCTGAAACGTAACCTTACAACTACCGACACGAATTGACGTTCGCCAAGTAGGTACAACATGAGAGGACTGCGAGAGCTTGCGCGACCCCATTTTCCAATTTCCCACGTTTCCGAAAATCCCCGGGGTTCCTCATTCGATTTCTCTGCGGAGCCGCTTCCCGTTCCGGACGAACGAGCGATCAACACTCGTTAGATGATCCGGATGCATCGTGACTGGCATCGTGAGCGACTTTTTCCTACTCTTTAGCAAAAATAAGTATCGTGTAAAGATTACAACGCCGGTTCACGATGATCCTGCAAAAGTGCAAGAGGAAAAGAAAGAGAGAGAGAGAGAGAGAGAGAGAGAGAGGGAGAGAGGGAGAGAGGGAGAGAGAGAGAGAGAGAGAGAGAGTGAGCGAGAGAGTGAGCGAGTGAATGAGCAAACGAGAGAAAGAGAGGGTACGCGCATAGGAAAAAAGAGGAAAAGAGAGACCTTTCCTTTTCCTCCCTCTCCCTCCCCCCTCTCTCTCTCTCTCTCTCTCTTTCCCTTTTTCTCTCTCGCTTTGTTGTTGTATGTCCGGCCGGTGCAGCGAGGCTCTCTCGCGGGGCTTTCTTCCTTCGAGCGGCGTCGGCGGTGACTCAAAGAAAGGGGCGCGTAACAAGCTTTGAAATACCTTGTAAGCCGGCTACACGCTACAGCTATACTGCCTATAAAGCCAGTGCCAGGCGAAACGATATTTATAACCGGCCCTGTGCCAGCCTGCTCGGCTGACGGGCCACCGCCGCCGTCATATGAAATCCTCCCGACGAGCTCTCAAACGCAAAATGTAAACGCGTAATACATACAAAATGTAATTACACTTGAAATTCCAGCGAGGTATACTCGTATGCTCCGCGAACACGTTATCCGGGATTCCCTCGTAGATCAGCGGCGGTGCTCTCTCTCTGCGTCGCTCCGAGCGGAATTGGCCGGCGCTCGCGCGCGACAATCCAGAGACGCGATAAATTTTTATTCGCGGACCACACATATCGCGGCGAAACGTGTAGTAAAATGGCACGTACACCCCCTGCTCCAGAACGCGCGAGCGTCGTTCCCGGGGACGCCGTAGTAGCCGTTGGCGCGATCGGCGCGGCACGAAAGACCGAAAGACGTTCTTAATTTCCCGGGAGATAGCTTCCGCGGATTCTTCTCGGACGTCTTTCGGGACGGCGACGATTATTATTACGTCCGACTGAACCGCGCTTAGAAATCGCCGGGCGGAAGCATCGTTTCGCCACGGCACGGACTTGGCGCGCGCGTTCTCGCGGTAATTGTCAGGTACAGCGCTTTCGTCAACGATGGCTTCGAATTGGCACAATAACCCTAGCCTAGGCAATTGAGCGCCATGAATTCACGCCGAGAGAAGAAGCCTTAAGTCGCTATAGTCGCTTACTAATTGCACACGCGCGAGTCTCGAATCTCGTCGATGCGTCGTCGGTCGATGAGAAGCAGTGTACCTTTTGAGGGACTGGGGAGGTGCGCTGCGACATTGGGTTATCGCCGGCGAACTTGCAGACTTACGTGCTAGTACTTTGGTAAACAGTTTGCCGCCTCTCAGTCAACACGTCTCTCGCCTTCCCCCCTCTCTCTCTCTCTCTCTCTCTCTCTCTCTCTCTCTCTCTCTGTATTATACCGCCGCTTATTTATGCGTCGCTCGTTAGCGCTTTTATTAAGAGCTAATTAATTCGATCTAAATTACGAACTATCTTTGGACGTTTGGCTGTCGCGCGTGCTGCGAGGGGCCGCCACTCGGCTTTGGTATATGTCACACGTTCGTTCCTCGTCCGATCGCCGACGATCCTGCGGCTTCCTTCTTACCTTCCGATCCGAGTCCTTCCGATCGTCGAGTCGGCGGCCGTCCGGTCCTCCCGTCCGCGAGCTTTCGGGAATAGCGCTTTCACCTGGGAATACACTTCGCTTCGGCAGATCTCGAGCTACCGGGGACACCATGTGTGAATCCGTCAGCCCGCCAATTTTCGGCCTCTTCGCGAAAGGCAAAATTACTCGAGTTATGTGCGTCGCACGTGTGCAGGCGCGATGCAGGCCAGCGGCTTGAAAATAATATTATAATCGGGGAGGAAATATTTATCCCGTCGGCGAATTAAGGCTCAACATCCACCTCTTCCCATAATCCACTTCCTGTCTTGACCCGCACATCTCTCATCCACCCAGCGTCCCTGTGATCTCTCGTAGCCGCGGACTGATGTTGATTCTGCGTAAATTAAGACTCCTTCTCCTTCGCACTCTATCTTGATTATCTCTCGTCCTTGTGAACTTCTGCAAGCGAAGAGTACACAACGCTCCAATTGCGGTGTTTCCTTAACGACCCCCGTCTCATCCCCGTCGCCTTTCTCTCTTCACCCATCTTCACCTGCCTTTGCCTATCTCTGCGTCTCTCTTTTCTCTCTCTCGCAACAACTCTACCGCTGCTTTTCACTCCCTCTCTCCCTCTCTCTCTCTCTCTGCGCGCATCCTCCCTCGTTTCCTTTACTTTCCTTCCTGGCAATATTGTCGGTGATTCAACCGGCGAGTTGGCGGCCTAACATTACACAGGTGTCCCCGGCCGCTTCTCGATCGCGAACGCTCCCGACCAGGTCGCGCCGATCTGGGAAGCCCTCGGCCGCGCGCGGGCCGGGAGTCTCGGGGTTTCCGGAAGCTCGCGATCGAAATGCTCCGACGAAGAGCCGCTCCTTCCCGAGCGACCTGGAACGCCGCGCGGATGCACTTCCGCGCGCGCGCGCGCGCGCGCGCGCGGCGTACGCACGTGGAGTACGCAAGGCCGCAGTGCGCGAAAGTGCGTCCCTCTTGCCCCTACGTGTAATGCTCGCAGTCCCCACACTCTGAGAGCGTGGGTGTGGACGGACACTAGGTGGGATTCGGGTCCTCGTATGCCTTCTCGTAGTCCCGCCGCCGTATCACCGCGAAGTGGGTCATCTGGAAGGAGTTGGTCTTCTTGCAGCCGCGCTCCAGCGTGCCCGTCATGCTGTAGCCCATATTGAAGTCGCTCGACGAGACGTTCGACGTCAGGTACAGCTGCGAGCAGACAGAGAGAGAGCAACAGATCGATAACGATATTACAACCATGCTCGCGCGCACACATACATGCTCACGTGCGCGCGAATCCCCTGGGAGAAGCCCGCTCTTTCCCGTTACAGTCGCTCGCCTAGCTCCGTCGCTCGCGCGATTTGTTTTCTCCTTTTTTTTCCCTCTCATTCTCTTTGTTTCTCAAGTATAGAATATAAAAGTATACGCGCCGTGAAATTACTCCGGATTTTTACGTCGGCATATTTTTTCCCTACGCACCAGCCCACTCGCGTGGTATTTTGTTTCCTTTCTGAAACGAGCGAGCGAGCGAGCGAGCACGCGTGCGTACGTACGTATGCGCGCACATACGTGTGTTGTTTATAATTGCGAATGAACGCAGCGGCGCAGCGCCGCGAAAGAAATTGCTTCCAAATTTGCCCGCGCTAATTAAACCGTCTTTCGCGCGCGCGGTGCTCGACAATTTACAGTCAGAAATACCGCGACCGCCGTTGCGCGGTCGTCGCGGCGGTCTCCGCAATGCGCGCGCGGAATTAAATATATATCCGAACCACGCCAGGCAAGACAAGGTGGACACCTCTACGAGACACGAGCCCGGGTCGGCCGGGCTGATCGCGTCATCGATTCGAGCTGAGCGGCACAGCAGCACAGCACAGCCGGAGTGTTCGGCACGCTTGTTCTTTATGCTGGCTGGTCTCTCTATCAAAATTGCACGCGACAGCTATGGTCGGCTGTTGGCGCGCAGATACCGTGTTACTGTCTGACGGCAGTCGGCCCGACGCGGTAACCTACTGGTACACATTCGCGCGCGACTGCATCGCGGGGACACACCGGGCTTGTAGCGCACCACCAACCCACCTAGCTACCTAGCTACCTAGCTACCCACCGCCGCACACGCCGCAGCTTTCCGCGTTTTAGTGCCGTCGTAAAATCCCGCGCGCCACCAACTATATGGCTCCCCCGCACCGCCGGCGCACAATGGCATCCACTTTAGCATTTGGTAGGTGCGCGGTGTCCGGGAATCTCCCCTCACCCCCCTGCCGCCCTTTAACCCTCTTCTCTACCCCCCCCTCTCTCTCTCTCTCTCTCACACACGTCTATCTGTCTCTCCGTCCGTCGCAGAAAAAGTCTGCTCGCGACGTGACTCTTCTTCCGCCGGTTCGATAAACGTCGCGAAAACGCGCCGCGATGTCCCCATGGCGTGCCGCGGACATATGCGAGACACGTCGACGCCTTTTATCGGTTATTTCCCCGTTGTCGCCCGGACAGTTATTTCCTCTTTCGAGAGCGAGCCGCCGCGCCGAATTGGTGCGTCGAACGTTTCACACGGCGGAATAGTGAGAAGGAAAACTGGGCGAAAACATTCAATCCGTAAAATAATGCTTTGCAGGGTGCGTGCATTGCGAGTGTGCGCGCGCGCGCATGTGTGTGTGTGTGTATAATCATGACAGCGATAAGCGAACGCGACGCGTTTTCCAATAAAAAGTTTAACGCTCTCGTTACGTTGTGGAATCGTATTTTTCAGGCGCATGCGACTCACCGGTGTAATTAACGACGGTGAGTGAGCGTGACGCAATAATTCCCAGTGATAAACACGATAACCGGCGTGTTTGACGAGCATGAGATTTATCATCGGCGAACGGGTTATACTGGATGTCGCGCGTGTTTTCTCGCTTTCGCAGCGAGAGCCCTACCGCCGCCGTCGCGCGGACTCTTCGCTCAAATTGTCGCGCGCGGGGTATATTTTTTTTCGCTTTGAGCGTCGATCTTGTTAATTCGCGCCGGGCGTTGCATGCGAGCGGGACGCGATTCCTTTAATTCGTTTAATTTGCCCGCTCGAAAATTCGTGCGCTCGACCTGTTTCCGCAGCTGCGGAAACACGCGCAGTCGTTACAACGCGCGCGCGCGCGCGCGAGCGAGCGATATGAAGTTTTCCGCGTTGCTGTATTTATTTAATTATCGCCCAGTTCGCTCTCCCCTGCTCTCTTCCGCTAGCGCGCGCGATAAAAGCGTCTGAAAATTGAACGGCGCGCACTCGTCGCGGATATATTTTCGCGCGCGGTGACGGGGAGGACGCGAGGCGATGCGGAGATACGTCGTTATTTGTCGCGTCGCGTCACTCGCTCGCTCGTCCGCTCGGTGAATGCACGGCACGTGCACTTCGTTGCCGTTCCGTGAGCGCGAAAATATCACTCGCAGGACAAAGTTTCTCGTAATCCGGCAATCTGCAGATTAGCCAGCGAGAGAGAGAGAGAGAGAGAGAGAGAGAGAGAGAGAGAGAGAGAGAGAGAGAGGGAGAGAGAGAGAGACTGCGAGCGTCCGATAAAACGCCCGCGCATCGTTTCGCGAGAGAGAACCGTGCGAACTTTGCCCTTTGGGTGTGAAACGGAAAATATATTTGCGCGGAATGAAATACGATCCGCGCTTGTGAATTAAATATTTCATTTGCGATAATGAGAATTATATACACGCCCGCGTTTATACACGCTCGCGAGAGAGAGAGAGAGAGAGAGAGAGAGAGAGAGAGAGAGAGAGAGAGAGAGAGAGAGAGAGAGAGGGAGGCGGGGGGAGGGAGGGAGGAAGAATTTCCAGCGGAAGGGAATTTATGGTAGCAGCGCCGTCGGTGGTTTCTAAATAATTTCGGGTCAAGGTGAGACGGCAGGGAGTACGGTATATGGGAAAATATAACGCGGTCTAGTCTCCGCGCAAAGGTTGAAGGTTATTTCTCGACGAGCCGGGCAACAAGCGACGAGCTTGCTATTTGCAATTAACAAGCCGTGTTATTGAATTTACAGAGGGGGACCCCCCCGCGTAGTTTGTTATGCGTATTCATTATTGGCGTGACAAGAGTTGCACGTTGAGCACGTTAGCGCTTGACGCGCGGAAAAGTGAGCGAGAAGTAGCCGGGCGCGACGATACGATTTATCGCGCGAGAAACGAGAGTTTACAGATAAAGGCCGGCTTTCGGGAGCAGCAGATTCGACCTGTCGAATCGTACGATTGCGGTACCTTGAAATCAGGATCGGTCGTCATCCTCTTGAACGAGCCGATAATATAAAGCGTGCCTGTGCCCGTGTCCACCATCTTCGCCTGTGTACTGTACCTGAAACAACAAAAACAACAACAACCGCGAATTGAGTGTCGATCATAGCGGTCCGAAATTTTCGCTCGAGAATAATCCGTGCGGGATAGCGAGAGGTGCCGAGCGGCCGGGGAAAGAGTCAGCGGAAAGAGATATCGGGGCGAATGCGATCAATTCTGCTGATATTTCGGCTATGAGGGAAGAGCTATCAATTGGTCGTCTTCAGTTCTCGGCCGCTTTTCAGGCTTAACGTCCTCGCGACGCGGTAACCCTCCGGAAGATCGAGACCCTCGAAGATCGGCTCACCCTCAATTTTATTCTTACCTCTTGTGTCCCGAGCTGTACAGCGAGGGTGGCGAGGCATTGTGCATGCGGACAAAAAGCGAGGAAGCGATCTCTCGCCGGTCACTGTCCTCTTGCAAGAGTTCGCGAAAGCTGTTTGCGTTGCGTCGCTTCCGCGAGTGGAAGAGGGCGAAGTTAGCCGGCGCTTTCCGCCGCTCCCTCGCGCCTCTCGCCGCCATATTTTCGTCTTCGTACGCGCAATTGTCACGTGTATTATTTCGTACGTATTATCCGCCGACATCGCCCAAAGATGAGGGAAATCATTATTTCGGTCGATCGAGATCGCGAGTGGACGGGGCGAGTGAGGGGACTTTTGACGGTGCACGAACTCCGAGTGGTTGGCGCGGGACTTGCGAGAGCCGCCGTCGTCGGACTCGCATTGTTAAGTTAATTGACGATCGTCGTTAGCTACGTGCCGTGTCTTTCGGCTACAACGCGATCCTCGTCGGAGCCGAACGAGGGTCGAATCGCGAAGGGAGTGAATAGGGAAAGCAGGAGGGAGTTACGCTCGACTGGTGACGGCGGATGTTGGGGTGCCTTTTCAAAGAAAGAGGACGCGAGGGAGGCAGGGAGCGAGGGGCTGGAGTAAAGTAGATTTCATACTCTATAAGAGTGTCGTTCCGCCAATTTTTCGACAATGTTCCCTCGTCGGCTAGTAGCATTTTGTAACCTGCTTGCCGCGCGAACGATTTTCGCATTCAGCTTTAGTAAAGAGGCAAGTCGATTTTTTTGTGTTTGAAAATATGAAGATATACATATTTGTGGAGCGGAATAAAAGAACGCGCGTTCGGAGCAGGCAGCAGGAAGATAAAAATCGCGCGAGTTCTCGGAGGAAACCTCCGTCTGACACACACACACACACACAGACACACACAGAGAGAGAGAGAGAGAGAGAGAGAGAGAGAGAGAGAGAGAGAGAGAGAGAGAGGAGGGGATGAGGGAAGGATGAATCCTTCGTTCTACATAAAGATGGAAAAAGAAGGACAGGAGAGAAGAGGCCGAGAGTTCACCAACGCCAGTGCACGATCGACTCGAGGGGCTTATTCCAGCAGAGATGCCGCCGCTCGAGGACCGGCGACGATCATTAAAAGTTTAAACGGCCTCCATTGAAGTGAACGACGGCGGCGGTGGATCCGACACTCGGCTCGGAATCCACCGTCTCGCTCTGTCTTCCTCAGCTTCCTCTCTCTGTCTCTTTCCCTTCCGCCCTCTCTCTCTCTCTCTCTCTCTCTCTCTCTCTCTCTCTCTCTCTCTCTCTCTCTCTCTCTCTCGTTCTCTCGCTCTCGCTCTTTCTTGTGAAGAAGGGTCGCGCAAAGGGAAATCCGAACCGCCGAAGAAAGACACGTAGACGTCACTTGCTAGGGTTTACGTGACCATGCGGGTGAAACGCGGCGCGATATTAACGATAACATCTCGACAACTCTAGCAGCGAGTATCGAATACTCGTAACCGAGCACTTGCGGAAGGTGAGCACTTGCGGAAAAGAATAAATCGAGCGAGATGGAACGATAACTTGAGGCGACATTGAGATTTTGTTCGTGGATAAATGGATACGCACGTACACACGAGGGGAGAACAAATTGATGGAATGAACGTGAATTGAATTAACCAAAACCCACTTGATGCGTTTGTTGTCGCATTAATTCGAGCAAGCTCTTTTCTCGGCGCGTGAATATCGAGAGGAAGGAATTTATTTATCTGCTGCTGACGCGACTAGTTATTTAATTAGAAAAGAGAGAGAGAGAGAGAGAGAGAGAGAGAGAGAGAGAGAGTAGATGGCGAGATCGGTAATTATTAACATGACGAATTAGCGGGGGAATAATCGCATCGATAATTACTATCGTGTCACTAACGATAGCATTGATAACCTCGCGAGATTTGGTTTATGTATGTGCGGGCTAATTCGCCGACAAATTGGCGTATGCTCGTCGCACTATCGCGTATATTTGTCGCGCCGGAATACACCCCGATCGGCTTGGATTCGCTCTCGCAGTCCATCGCGCCGGATAGAAGGTCGCAGAATCGAAGTCCGCGACGAAGATAAATGGGAGAGATTTCGTCGCGGCCGACGACGACGGTCCGGCGCGACGGCCAGGGCCGAGGCTGTCCTCGCGTTTCAGCCCGCTCGTAAAAGCTTTTGTTGACCGAGCAACGACGTGGATCGGAATAAAGTAGCGATCGACTCGAACCCGACGTAACTGTCCCGGCGTTACAACCCGCGGTCGGGAAACTTTTGTTGACCGAGCACGACGATCGGAGATCAGACCGGTATAAGGATCCCTCCGTGCGATCCGGAGCGATCCCCGCGACGTAACTGTCCCGATATTCCAACCAGCCTCGGCAAACTTTCCTTTAGCGTAGCAGCAATCGGAGATCAGAATAAAGTGGCGGTCTTGGACGAGACCCGAGACGACTGTGCGATGTAACTGTCTCTCTCGGTGTGTTCGAACCGCGCGCTCGCGGGATTTTCGTCGACGAAGCAACGTTCGCGGCGGATACGAATGAAATATCGACTCCCGGAATCCTCGTGGCGACCTCGCGACGGGGACACTATCTCTCGGTGATCAAGCGCGAGGACCAAGCGCAGCGCGATCGGAAGTCGAGGGTGAAGCATCGATCGAAGCATGAGAATGCAGAATCTCGAGGGTCGCGAGCGTAAACTCGCCCGCCGATGCCTTAGTCAGAGGCGACACAGCTCGTCGCAGTAATATCGTTTGCCCGCTCTGTTTCTCTCCGTCTCTCGGTATCGTCTCCGGACTAACGCCGGCTGTACACGTGTCCACGTGAATTGGGCTCGTAGGAATTGATCCGTGCTGCGAGAGTCGTTGTAGCGCGTGTTTGCCAAGACGCTCGGGTTCTCGCAGCGCGGGGAGAACCCGTGCTGCAGCTAGGAAGACTGGAATACGACCGTTCCGCCGGCCGTGGGATATTTAGGCAAGTTTCGGTCGCCTTCGCAAACTCCGTTCGATCCTGCGGAGACGTCTATGCCCGGTGCGCCGCGCTAAGGATGCCCCGCGGCCATCCCTGACCATATATTAATCGCCGTATGACTCGCGCACAGTTACGGCGGTGCTCTTAGAGCACCGCGTGGATTCCCTCGGCACTTCCTCGGAATAGAGAATTCGAGTTTCGGAAAAGCCGCTGAGAGACAAATACGGAGAGGCGGATCTAGAGATGGGTGGGAGAAGGGGGGGAAGTATAAAAAAGATATCGGCGCGTCTCATCTCTCGCGGGGTCATTCGGGGCGCGTGCGGGGAAATAAGAAAAGGACGATTCCCCGTCGTATAATTTAGTATCGCGCGTGTTTTCCTCTTGATGGCGGTATATTATCGGACGGTAACGCTCCCCGGGAACGAGATTCTTCGCGTTTGGTTCGCGGGAAAAACGTCGGACGATTCTCGCGGAATCGACAAGTACAACGTTCGATTCCCGGCGTCGTCGTAAAACGCGTGACTTTATCGCGCTCGCGCCGCTCCCGAAGCTTCCCGGAGACTCGTCTCCACCTCTTCGAGGATTTATCATGACTCTCAGCATTCGGTGAAAGACAATGGGGGTCGATGGGGAGCGTCTTGCTCGCTCTCGCTCTCGCTCTCGCTCTCGCTCTCGCTCTCGCTCTCGCGCGCGCGCGCGCGCGCGCGATCGAACGGATCGCTATAAATCGCAGCCTTCTTATCGGCTTCGACCGCCGGCGACCTTAACGGCGCCGAAATCTATGGACGCCGGAAAGTTAGACGAGCCCCAGTTTCCCGAAGTGATACGACCACCGGAAAGAGAGCCCCCTCCAATTCTCGTCTCATGACCTGCGATACGGTATATTGCGTCTCCGTACGTTATTCCCCTTACGTGTACGGTGCACGTTTCTCGAGCTTGTTATCTCGACGGGCAGCAAGATGCGCGTCCTGTGGACCGCTCCGAATGTTGCATCGTGCCGTAAACGCGGCTTATCACGCGCGATAATTGCACCGCGAGCGGACTGATAAGAAACGATAATTCTGTCGAGGCGATTGCGCGTGACGACCAAAGTGGGACACCGGGCGCTCTCACCGGAGAGTGAACACGCGAATTTAACGACGATGGTAATTCGACTCGGTTAGATTTGTAAAAATTTTGATTTTTCATTTAATTGTTTTTCATTTAATCTTCCACAAAGTTTCGATCATCGCGTTTAATTGACGGTTGTTGCTTTAGCTTTCTTACTTTTCACTTCAATGTAGATCGCGGCGGTATTGAGCGTGTAAGGTTCAAAATTGAGAGTGCCCCCCGCTTTCCCATTTTTCCCGTTTTCCTGACTAAAGTCGCCTGCTTACCTTCTTGTTCCAGCGACCTCGACGACTTTGCACCGACTCCGACTCCACCAAAACGGCGTCAGGGTCCAGTAGGAACTACTCGCGCTTCTCGCCCAGCCCTCCTCGGGAAACAGAAGAACCTGCGACATAAACGGTGAGCGAATCGTTCAATATCTCATCTGTCGTGACATTCTTAATTTATATCGAGGAAAGAAAAACGACGATTTAGTGGACTTTGGAATTTCACGTTTCGCGCGCCAGCATTATCTCGCTGGAAGCTCGCTGGAAGAGCTATAACGCTCTCGAATAAAGTATACGAGATCGCGGGAGGGCTTCGTCGGGACTTTACCGCAGGATAGCGCGGCGTCTTCGACGAGTTCGAGGTTTTCCGGGAAAGATTTGTCGAGGTGAAATCCTCCGCGGAAGTAGGAGGAGGAGAAGAAGGAGGTGGGGGAGGGGAAGGGGCAAGCGGGAAAAGAAGGAGGATGTCTTCTCGTGGAGAACGTATCTCTCGCGAAAAAAAGCTCTCGACCTCCTTTCACCCCCGCATCCTTCCCTCCTCGCCTCGGGCTCTACGCCCCTCGCGGCTTTCCCAAACCTCAGCTATGTGACCGAAATATTGAAACTTCGTCGAATCATTTCTCCCTCGCTCGCGCTCGCCCGATGAAAAAGGAAGGAGCATGCATCCCCTCGACCGGCTCCCTCGGCTATCCCGCACGCGATTCAAGCATCTGTCATGCCGGGGATTTTCTGTGCCGCTAACGTGCGTTTCGCGAACATGGATAGATCGCCCTTTAATCGGTACACATCTCTCAGCGGGTTAAGCGTAAGAGGATCGTTGTTCCTCTTCTTCTTCTTTTTCTTCTTCTTCTCACTGCTCGACTGTTGGGCGGAAAACTGCAACTCGTTTGCGTAGCGAGAGACGATTCGTCGAGAAATTTCGCACGTCTGGGTCTACACATCGCTTGCGTCTCGTGAAGGCACGTTATAATGCGAACGACCCGTCATCGGGAATGACTAAAGATATTGCACACATACACACACGCAACGCACACATACAGCAGGTTTCGAAACGGTTTGGACACTTCTACGAACGCAGTTCGGAGCTCGATGGTCCAATGGGAGGACATGTTTCCGAAAAATTCCCGCAAGTCGAGTTCTCTCGCTGTGGACATCTGCTGCGTTCGGAAAAAGTGTTCAAACTTCCGTTTCGAAGCTCAGTGTGCATGCACACATACATACACGTTACCTTGCTTTTTGCCACCACTCATCGTATCGTGGCGCATCTCCGTGCGAAGATAATTTCGCGAAACAACGGATTACCGCGATGAAGCACCGCCGCGCGAAACATATTTCGTGATACGGATCCGACGGCGTCACGCAGCGAGGCGAATATCCCCCGCTTTATCGAGACACAAATCATCCCGTTTCTTCATTACTACCCCGTCCCCCGCGGACAGCTTTCCCCTTGGCAACGGGTTTCGTCAGCATCCCAGATATTCCGCGATAACCGCGCATTTCCGCCGAAGTTACGATACGTTGCAAATTGCTATCCGTCAGCAAGAATGCGCTTTCTTCTACCCTCGAGCTACGAGGCTGGAAAGGAGGGCGGGAGAGGGAGAGAGAGAGGGGGTGACTAGCATGTCAAAAGAGGAACACATAACGCGGTTGAGAGGCTACGAAGGGCTGAGACTTCTCTTCGACGTCTCTCTCTCTCTCTCTCTCTCTCTCTCTCTCTCTCTCTCTCTCTCTCTCTCTCTCTCTCTCTCTGCTCCTCTCTTCCTCTTCCTCCTCTCTTTCGCCTTTTCTCTTTTCCTGCCTCGATTTGCCGCGGGATAGCTCGTTGCCAAAACTTCTTGATTTGCCGTTCCAGAATAACGGAACAGTCGGCGGGAACAATTTACCCCGCTGAGAAGGAAGAGGGGTGGGCGAAGGGGAGGGAGCGCGATTTTATCGGATCCCTTGGAATTGCATTCCAGCCACGTAAACGGGAATATCGAGATTCAGACGAGCCTCCTCCCGACCTCCTCATCCCTCCGTCCTTCATTCTGGGTCGAGTCGAGGGTGACGAGACAAATTCACGATTAACGTCCTCCTTCTTCCCTTCTTCGTCTCTCTCTCTCTCTCTCTCTCTCTCTCTCTCTCTCCTTTTTACATTTCATTTCTCACTTTTTCAAAAAAGGCATGTTCATTTTGTGCGCTGAGATAAATAACGGTAATGCGTTATTCAGCGGTACGGTGATCCTTAACAATAACGCACCGCTCAAAATGTCAGCCTCGTGCCGACTGTGTTTTTCAAAATTCCTTTTGTTAATCTATTTTTACATAACACGACCCGCGTATAGGGTTGCAACGGGGTCGTGTGGGAACAACGGGGTGACCAAACAACCAAGCAAGCCAGTTTCCAATCGCGGCAAAATCTACCCTGCGGCGATAAAGTATGCATAAAGCTGGAAACACAATTCGCGACGGACTTTCGGCGAACGCCGGTGCGATTATTCGCTCGCTCGCCGATCAAACTCGCATGATTACGTTCGCGTTTCGCGGTGTCGGTTCCACCGTTCCCTCTCCCCCTCCCCCTGCCTCTCTCACTCTGTCTCCGTCTCTCCTCTTTCTCCCTTTTTCGATTCAATGCCGCGGCCGACCAATCGAACGTGCTCCGCGGCCGAGTTTACTGGCCTTTAATAATGTTTCGCGAATCATCGAGTCGCATTACGGAGCGGCGCGCGGTACGCTTTTGCGACGCAGTCGCTGAATTTGCCGTCGGATCGACGTTATTTAGTATTTTACGCTCCGGTATATTATAACGATCCGCTGATGTTGCATTATAATGATTATATTTTGCCGCGGCTGTCGTAACGTAATCCTTTGTCCTGTCGCTGTGACGTGCTACGTACGTGGTCTGCCGTAACTCTGCAATACGCACGTATAACTATTTAATTCCATCCGAATCCGAATGCAATTACTTAATTATTCTAGTCGTGCTTCTCCTCCTGCTCGTCGTCATTGTTTGAAAGTGGTTTGCGCGTTCCAGTACGTTTCAACGTCGACTTAATTCGCTTCCGAAGTATACCGCTCATAATTCGCCTTTCCGAGATATGCAGCGAGAGAGAGAGAGAGAGAGGGAGAGAGAGAGAGAGAGAGAAATTTTTAAAGCAGTTGAGCAGCGATCGAAAATCTTGGAAGTCACAAAAAGCGCAAGCGAGATGCATCGAGGTATCGACCGGAAGCGATTGGAGCTCAGCTCGGCTTCGACCTTAACTCTCTCAACGTTCTCGAGAGCCGGCAATTACGCGCCGTATCCGCACTTCTCGATGCGTATCGTGAATCGAACTACCCTCTCCGCGTATATATGCATGTATATATAAATATACACATACACATACATTTTCGCCTGCTCGCTGCTTTTAATAAGCGAAGATCATGCGCGCAAATATCGAATCTCGCAATTTCCTAAGCTAGACACTCGCTCGGGGCCGCGCCTTACGAGCGAGAAGAAAAATAAAAGCGCACGATCGCGATCGAGGAAAGTTCCACGAATAAAGAAGCGACCGCGAATCGCGAGGGATGCGAGTGAGGGTCGAGTATAAACAGCCGAAGGGGCGGGGGACGAGGAGGAGGAGGAGGAGGAGGAGAAGAGGGAACGGAATTCCAGGCGAAGTTTCCACGCTCTTCGGCCCACATCTATTTTTCTTTCGGCTCCTTGGCGTCGTCTCTCTCTCTCTCTCTCTCTCTCTCTCCCTCTCTCTCTCTCTCTCTCTCTTTCTCCCTGCCTGTCGCCATTTCCGCCCGTATGTATTTTGTAGCTTCGCGGGCATGACGTGACGCGCATCGAAGCCTGAAGCGGTTGTCGGTCGATCGAGCGGTCGATCAATCAGCCGAAAAAGCAGGCGGATCCGTGGTCTCCTCCTCTTCGCCTGCTCTTCCTCCGCTGCGGAAGAACGACCGAACAAATTGAACTAATTTCCACGGCTCTCGGAAATGGTTAGAAAGCGCCCGCTTGTAATGGCTGCCCTTTGCTGCCGAACATGCAAATTTATCAACGTTCGACGCTGACGCGCCCGGGGTTGGACAATTTGTCCATTAACGATTCCAATTATTCGCTGTGGTCATAGTTCGCCAAGAATAGAGATTTTTCCGGCCGCCGATGACGCGGCGCTTCCGCCGGAACACACGGCCGATGGAAAAGTAACAACGGCGATGACGCGATTTTGCCCTTCGCACGCGCAGAGAATCGCACGACGTAAGCGACTCCTTCCGTTCCTCCGCCGTCGCGGAGGAGGACTTTTCCGCGCGAAGCGCGAATCGCGACGACTCCTCTCGCCTCGCGTTCCCTCGCGTTCCCTCGCAAAGCTTGGGAGAAAAATGGACTTTGGCGACTTTAATTTCGCCAGTCGCGCGCGATTAATTTTCGCCGAGCCTCCGCAGCGCGGGAAGCGGCTTACGCCGCGCGGTCTCCGCGAAGCCGTTGATTAAGCTCGTCCTCGCGGACACGCGAGTTTATTGTCCGCCGCGCTGATGTCGCTCGCACGCGCGCGCGCGCGACAACGAGGAACGGAACCGGTCGCCGGTCGACAATCGCGCCCGATATTGCGGATCGCGCTTATATCTCCGGCGCGACTCTTGCCGGTTTATGTCGCGCTGAATGCCGTTGATTGAATAAGTGGATCTCACGCGCAGCTGCCGTCGTCGCCGTAGCTCGCCCGCTCTCTCTCTCTCTCTCTCTCTCTCTCTCTCTCTTTCTCTCTCTCTCTCTCTCTCTCTCTCTCTCTCTCTCTCTCTCTCTCTCTCTGTCTCGTCTCTGTCGTCTCTCAGCTCGGTCTCTCTGGCTCTCTCATCGGCAATTTACCCTCTCTCGAGGTGTGTGAGAGGCAGCGAGAGAAAGAGGGAAGGGGGGCAAGAGACCGCCGAGAGCAACGGCGGTACTTCGCGCGACCGGTCGCGCCCGTCGTCTATTTCCTCGCTCCACTTCCGCGTGCCGCGAGGCGCGCTTAATTACGCCGCTGCCGGCGGAAGCGATATTAGCGCTCGTTAGAATTCTGCACGATTGATTTCCCGTTTTGCGGAGCTCGCGAAAGATGAAATGAGCCTCGTGGGCCGCCGCGATCTCGTGCCGGAGCGAGCACTTTGCTCGTTCGCG